CCCCCCGCCCCCCCCCCCCGGGGGGGACACATGTCCCCCTCCTATTGGCTGGGGGCTGTGGCCCTGTTCGTCTAGAATAATTGGGTTGTAAATATACAATGATCATTCAATAATTAGTATTTAATTTACAAAGTTTGCTTCTTTATTAAGTTGGGGGGACACATGTCCCCCTCGTATTGGCTGGGGGCTGTGGCCCTGTTCGTCTAGAATAATTGGGTTGTAAATATACAATGATCATTCAATAATTAGTATTTAATTTACAAAGTTTGCTTCTTTATTAAGTTGGGGGGACACATGTCCCCCTCGTATTGGCTGGGGGCTGTGGCCCTGTTCGTCTAGAATAATTGGGTTGTAAATATACAATGATCATTCAATAATTAGTATTTAATTTACAATGTTTTCTTCTTTATTAAGTTAGGACTTATTTATTACTTTTAAAAGGATGGTGCAATTATGAATGCACACTTAGCTCAGTTTTATATAATGAGCAGACTATGCATGTTTTAATTAGTTATATTAATAAAAATAATATTGTGAAATTATTTTTTAATCATATTTTGCCCAATTTTTGGTATTTACGTGCTGAATTAACGACCTTTAGACTACTAATCATTGTTCAGTATATTTTACTGCGTCAAAGTGGGTGACCTAAACAAAGTCCAACGTGGTTCCCACATATGAAGAGGTTTATTAAGATTGTAAAGAATAGACTTCAAAGATTCAATCTTCCAATCTTTAAAGGCAACAGTTTCAAGAGGAACAACACATACTCTTACATATTGTGTATTTATTTGATTATCATTTGATATAGAATTTGACCAGTAATTAGACAAATTCTACATATTCTAGGGAGTATTTATAAGTTATGAATATTTATTTATTTATTATTATTAAAATAAACAAGTTTTATTACCTAAAAGTAAGAAAAATATCCAAACAAATGTTCCTGTGATGATCATTCCTTAAGAACTGCTCAAATGCAACTAAAAATTTTGAGATAAATATGTGATGAAGGAAGAAATGAAATGTGAAATGTTCAAATCACTCACTTCACGCCTTTTTCTTCTTGGATTTGAGCATTACGTATCCAATAAATACGGAGAGGAAGCAAATAAGTGTCACGCCGGCACATACAGGAATAAGAATGGCATATTCCAGAGGTAGAAAGTACTTGTGCACAAAATGGTCGCTATCAACAAACGGCTGAAAGGACATAGAATCCGTACATTAACGGAATGTTTCAACATATACAAAAAATATATTATGCGAGTATAGAGAGAAAACGAACCAGGATGATAACCCAGAAGGTATAATAAGTGAAAATGGACAGGCTGATGATGGACAAAAGCAAGCCGACCGCTCTGTCTGCTAATTCCATTATAACCTATTTGAATTTGAGGTGATCAAAAATGGCATATCAAATCCTTTATATTTTCTCAAAAAACACATTCATATGTCACTTCTATGAAAACGAGAAACTCGTGCAATTCAAGTTGTCAACCCATCACTATTACTGTTCTCAATAAGCAGGATCCAGATAACAAACCCATGAGAAACAAAAAATGCAAAGCAAAGCCCACCAGTTTAAAATTGAAGATTAAGAAATTCAATTATGTGCTGATCTTCAGAAAAATCAAACCCAAGGAATCAAAAACCATGAAAAGCATGATGCTGCTGGCAAATAAGAATTTTGCATACAATCACGAATCTTATCTTTCATTCTATCCATCCAACTACAACTAATTCATCAAGTCGTAACACAAGATCATCAACATTTGCATTTAAAAGAAAATATCAAGAACCCAAAGATTCGGACCTTCAGCGAATTTTTCCTTTTTTTAGATAAATCAAATTTTCCATAAATTATTGTTCAAGGATGTAACTAAAACAAAAGTGGAATAGGGTTTAGATCTCAACTATTAGGGTGATCTAAGGGCCTGTTTGGCATGGCTTTTGAAAAGCCAAAGAGCTTTTGAAATTCCAAATCTGTTTTTATACGCATTTAGCTAATTTTGTGAAAGGACTTCGTATGGTTAGAAGAGCTTTCAGAGGAAGCTAATCCAATATGAATTCCTCTAAAAACACTTCCGGAATATGAAGCGCTTTGAAAAATTAATTTCTAAACAAAAATTATAATAACTTCCTCCAAAAACTTTTCTATAGAAAGCAAAAACAAAGCCAGGCCACTCGCGCTTTATAAAGAAGAGTTTTATAGGCCACCGTCGAAACATTTTTGAACACCAATTTCAGCGAGCATAAAACTGATTGGCTCAATTCATGAAAATTGCACAATGTAATTCTACCATGATAAATTTACACCTGATAGCCAATCCAGTATTTGTCACTCTCACCACTAACGGGTTGGTTGGGTAAAATATTTTTATTGATAGACACTAGCATTTGAACTACTAGTATACTTCTTTCCAAGGATCATATCTAATTCCCAAAAAATAAAAAGAAAAACAAAGTCTGGGACATCACATATTTGGAAAGGTTCCCATGACTTGGCCATTGTCAATATTGATTTCATCCGAATGCCCTCAATGGAGGAGCCTCTTCTCATTAAATTAGGGGTGGGCAAAACCCAAACCAACCGACCCGAACCGAACTGACCGGTTTGGGTCGGTTTTTTGCTATTTTTGGGCGGTTTCAGGCTATGGGTTGAGTAATCGGGTCAGGTCAGGTTGCGGGTTAACAAGTAAAAACTGACCCAACCCGCCCAACCCAACCTGACCACATTTAAAAAAAAAAAAAAACCGACATAATAAAAGGAAAGAAAGGCCAAGCCCCAATTTATTGCCCTAAAGTTTCTCACTTTCTCCATCTCGTCTTCAATCTTCAAGCCCCAATCTATCTCACTTCATTTTCTCTCAAATAGCCAATGGCGATCGGCGTTTTCCAGTTTCCGATCATCATTTTGTCCACACTCCAGTACTAGGGTAAGTATATTTTCTCATTTTCTATACCGCTTTCTCCCTAATGAACATAAGATTTTGCTGACATCCTGTAATTTTTTTGTCTGCTTCTCATATTTTGCTCGAATCTTGACTCTTGAGACTTGAGAGCTCGTCTAGCCTTTGCCCTTGTCCACAAAGCTGCTGCCTGCTGGAATCGTTGAAACTTTAATTGCCTCAACCTTCAGGTCCTGTTATAATTTATAGAATATCAAATGTTCATCAATTTTAGCTACTTCAAATAAATGATGGTGGGAGGCAGATTTCTAGAATGTGATTTTATTTTAATTACATTTGACACTTTTACGATAATTTTCATTTTTATTAGTCTTAAACTTGTGTTTTGTGGAGTAGGGAATAATATATGGTGGTGGGAGGCAGAATTTTAGAATGCTTTAATTTTCATTTTCAGTTTCAAACTTTGTATTTTGATTAATTTGTTGAGTAGGATATGAATTATAAATCTGAGCTATACCTAATACAGAATATGTATTATAAATATTTTTTATATTTCTTTTTAAGATGTGTCTGTGTAATGTTGACGTTCCTTGCAGATTAAATTGCTAGGAGAGCTTCATGGAGAATATTATCTTCAATAGAGTAGAAGATGGAATCCCGAGGGAATGAGCTGAATGCTAAGCGGATCAAGGATTACGGGCAGAAGGTGGAGTCAGAGCTCATCAACATTTGCAGTGACATCATGATTGTCATAGATGAGCATCTCATCCCTTCGTGTACAGCTGGTGAGTCTACAATGTTTTACTACAAGATATGAGGAGGGACTTACTTTCATTTATGTTGAATGTGATTTTCAGTTTGTTAGGAATTGAATGGTCTCTATAGTAAAACGCAGTAAAATTACACACGGACACACACTTATGATTATAGTTAAACATTTTGCTCAAACCGATCAACCCAACCCGACCCGACCGACACTTGATTGGGTTGGGTTGGGTTAGGGTTGGGGTAAAAACCGACCCAACCCACGCCCTCCCCTACATTAAATAGTAAGATACAACATTGATTACAGCCTCGAAGCTAAACAAAGTAATTTATTGAGGAAACTATACAACTATTTATTTCCAAATAAAAGATTGTGTATACATATATACATTGATTGCCTAATTTCCTATTCTCGCTCACAGCCATTACATTTCATTCTAGAAATCCTTCAATTCACCGTATTAGATACTCTCTTTAAGGTACAAGCCAGAGTCACTAGAACTCTCGAGAGAAGGTGATACCTAGGGGCGTCAATTTGGCTCGTCGGCTTAGCCCAGGAAAAGTTAGAACCGCCTCGGCTCATAGCTCGGAGGAATCGAGCCCCATTTGTGGCATTAGCTCGAGCCCAAACCATTTGGACTGATCAGTATCACAGGCCATTTTCGGCCCGTAAAATAAAAATAAATAAATATCACATGAAAAAAGTTGCCTTAAAGTAACTACACATAATTGCTTGTTAAGGCAGCGTGTAGCTGCTTTATGGCGGCAGTAGCTAATTTGAAATTTGAACATGTATTCAAATTTCAAATTTCAATTTGAAATTCAAACTTAGTTAAAATGGATATTATTTTTTGCTATAAATATGAGGTAAAATTTTGAGTTTTATATCAATTTACTTTAATCAGCTTTAACTTGCAGTATTCTAGTTTCAACTTCAATTTTTAATTTCTTCGCCTTAATATTCAATTTCTTTTATTTAATATTCAGTATCTTTTGCTATAATAGCCCTAGATGAATTTTACTAGTGATAAGATTAATCAATTTAAAGGTAGTTCGAGATTTCGAGTACTCCATTCGGCTACAATGTATTTCAAAATATTCCAATTGATTTGGAGGATATCAAAGAGAATGAAGTACTTGGGACTAAAAAGGTCGAAAAAATGACAACATATGACATGTAAAAAAGTTGATGTTCAAAATGAGTTGATATTTGGAAAGTATGTTGCAATTACTGTCGCAAAGAACTTGTTGGAAGCCTGGTTCAAGCACAGTGCATATGAATGAACATGTACTAAGGAGTTGCAAAGCAAAATCAATCGGTCTCAACTAAAAACAAACTACACTAAAGTTTGACGATTTTGATTCTACTCTTTTCACTTCGTATATTCACAGGAAATATTTCGTGAAGAAATGGTAGCACATGTGGCTGCAGCAAAGATGCCGCTTACGATGATGGACTCAATACACTTTAGCCGACTCGTGTAGAATTATCTCCAACCTAGGTATACTTCTTATTATAGAAACACTCTTCGTTCAGATATTATAAAATTATATAACAAAAAAAATTTGTTATTAAAGGTCTAAAAAATTTTAATAGTGTTAAATGTTTACCTTTGATTTATGGACCAATGGTACTTAAAAAGGTTATATTGCTGCTACGGCTCATTACATTGATCACTTGTAGCTTTTACGTAAAAGGATTATTGTATTCGAATGTATAAAATATCATGTGACTAACAAAACATGGTTTTAAAAAATATTATACAAGAATATGGTATACAAGAAATGATTCGAAATTTTACTTTTGATAATGCTATCGTAAACAAAGGTATTATTGAAAAATTTATGAATGATCTTAACTCTAAATTTAAAAGTTTATTTTTTAATCAACTTTGTATATGCCACATTATCAATTTGATAGTAAAAGAGGGATTAGAACATATAATATTGCCTTTAGATAAAAATAGACAAGTAATTAATTTTATTACTGTGTCACCCGCAAGAAAGCAAACATTTAACAGTTTGAGTGTAAAGTCTAACTTACAAGAGAAATCATTGGTCACTGATGTAACACAGATGAAACTCTACATATTTTATGTTACATTTGTGTAAAAATTATGGTAAAATTATTTCATTATATTATAATAATAGGTATACATACGGATCTAAACATAATTTGAAAGATTGAAAATGATCTATTGTATTTTATGTGAAGAAATTCTTAAAATCTATTCTCAATACCACAAAAGAATGTAGCGATGGTTATTATCCTACAGCTTCACTTATTTTACAACACTTTTTCTACATTTCACAAACATTTCATAGATATAGGAACTTGCCACTTTTTGTTGATGTAGTCTACTATATGGAATTAAAATTTAGTAAATATTAAGAATAGCTGCCCTCTTTATTTCTTTCAGTTACAGTGATGGACCCCCTACTTAATTTAACTGACATAAAAACTATTATAAAGGGAATTTCATATTTCATGAATGTAGAATTATCACATATGCATATAGAATCTATGGTGTGTAAAATTTATAACTATTTCGTTGAAAAGGAACGTCAGGAAAATCCTACTTCCTAAAATTCATTTTCAAAAAATATTTCAACAAATTCAGATAATATATGGAATTATTTGGATGAACAATCATTTAATTATAGTTCATCAATATGTAAAGCGATAGATGTCAGTGGTATAAATCTTGAAATTCCCTCTAAGTTGGTTAAGTATATGTGTGGACGTTCATAGAGTTTTACAACCAAAAGAATTACAGGAATTTAGTCTTTTATCATGGTTAAGGTGTGAAGAAAGACAATATCCAATTGTATTAGAAATTGCATGTGATCTAATAACACCTCCGTGTCTATGGTAGCATCGAAAGCTACATTTAGTTTAAATGTCGAGTTTTATCATATGGACGATCAAGACTAAAAGAAATATTGGAGGCTTTAATATGCTTGAAGGACTGAGAATGTGCAGAATTACGTATTCGATAACAAGTTGACAATATAATGGCCGAAAAGTTGTAGCAGATCTAAACATAGGATATTGTAAGTTTTTAAATTGATTGTTTCAAAAAAAATACGTAATTTTTAAATTTATTTGTTTTTAGAAAAATTGTACACGAGATATTTTATTCATATATAATTTTAACTCAGCCTACGTTGATTGTTGGTGATCCCAAGCCCAAAAAAGGAAGAGCGCTGTAAATACTATTTAATTTATAATTTGTATAAATTGCACAAATCTTAAATTCTTTAAAAAAAGTTACACTTTTCACGAATAAAAAAAAGGCAAACCGGCCTAAGGCACAAGCTAAAAGCTTCAGTCGAGCCTAAATTTTTTGGCCGAGCAAAAGCTCAATTCAGGCCAAAAAAAGACCGAACCATTTTTACTGAAGCCAAGCCCAAGCTTCAAGTTTGGCTTGCAAACTTGCTCGGCTCGACTCAACAACATCCTAGGTAATACCATAAAATTAGACGGTAGTACCTATTAGATTTTTTTACTTGAGTAAGACTTCAATACGCGTGAGTGGTCTCAAAATGTACATGGATAGTTAAAATAGTAGACTACTATTACCATCCATAGAATCTGTGAACCTTCCTATTGGATATTTTTCTAGAGTCTTATCATTTTTAACTAAAGCCTAGTGTTTCCTGCAAAATCAAGTTTTTTCCATAGGAAAAAAAAAAAGGGTGTACATGTGTTAGACACGAATGATACAGGAATGCACTCAAGATCTGGTCAACCTTTCGAAAACAAGCGACTCTTTAACACCTAATAAAATCCACGAGGACCAGTATTAAACCACAACTACAATTACTTTCATAAAAATGTAAAATAAATCTTCTAATGACTAAAATAAGAAAAAAAAATACATTCTTTTATAAACTGTATTTTTTTCTGTCAAGACTTGCTTATCTGCATATTTTACAAAGTTGAATTTATGTAAAGAATCTTTAAAGAGAACTAAAATTAGTTTACTATTGCGAATATGTGATTGAATGAGTTTCCTGATTCCCGTGTCCATGTCCAAAGTCAAGATTCCCTTTAACTGAATCCCATCTTAATATTTTAGAACTCGAACATCTGTCACTTAGATCCTTACCTAACCCCCTATTTGCCTACAAATAATTTATTTCTCATACTTATTTTCAACCATACATTAACACAATAAAATACTTTACACATAAATCGAAAACTTTTTCGCAATTTTTAACCATACATTCTCCAAAAATAACTATTCAAAACATCATTTTTACCCAATAATGGCCATCAAACAAGGGCTAAATGCCCCACATTTGTACTCATGTCCAAATTCACATAAGTTCTTCCTAAGCAACATCTTGAAAAAACGTCGAGTAAAGGGTAACTCATTTGTTCTTCTATAGATTTTATTTTGCACATAAATCCAAAAAATTTCCCACTTTTTAACTACACGTTCTCCTGAAAAATCACCATTCAAAATATCATTTTTACATAATAACGGACATCAAATTGGGCTAAATGTCCCACATTTGTACTCAAGTCCAAATTAACATAAGTTCTTTCTAAGCAACATCTTGAAAAAACTTCAAGTGAAGGGTAACTTGTTTGTTCCTCTGTAGATGTTTGCTTTGTGCAATAAACACAAGATCAACTTGTTATTTGAAAAAATCACATCACCTCCCCTCAACTTCAATGCATTATCGTGCATTTGTTTAAATAACTAAAAGGAAAAGCTAACATAATGGATGAGATTAGTTAATTACCCGAAAATGATCAAAGTATGGCCATCCAACACAAAAATATATAAATAAATAATGAAAAAAAAGTGCCTTTAAGGCTAGTCTTTTAAATGTCTGTTGAGGTAACTAGGGAGAGAGGTAACCAGGGAGAGTAACAAAAACTAGAATAACCACTCATTCCCCTTACCTCCAGCCACATAATAACCCACTTTCTAGTGATTCAAAAATCTGAGACAACTCATTTCATATATAGAATAGATTGTTCCTTTCATTTATATTGAAGTAGAAGTTGCTACAGTGAAAAATTACAGATGTAAATATTGAAGTTGAAGATGCTCCTAAACTCTGTCTAGATGAACAACCAAAGTGTAGTTTAGTTTACAAAATTAAACATCTACAAAGGAAGAAGTGTTATCGAACAATTTCGCGCAATTATTCAATTGGAAGTCTTGATCCGATTCAAAAATTATGTTTCGCAAATTCATAATCCAACTTTTCACTTTCTAAGTGACTCATGGATAGAAATCATGAGCCAATTGACCACTTTCCCGAGGACCCATTGAGAAAGGCGCTAGATTTCGATTTTAACCATTTGCATTTTTTTCTTCCAAATGCTTGCAGTTAAATAATTAACTATGGTTTCTCAGGGAGCCCAAAATGTCACAATTTAAATTTATTGCTCAACAAAACTGCAGCAGGATCAGAAATTTGCAGCGAATTTAAAAACTAAGAAATGGTAGGTAAAAAGGGACCTCGTTGAGACAGCATTGACCATGGCCACATGGGAAATAGCCTAAAAGCTGAGTAAATTGCTCTCTGAGCACTGACATAACAAGTCTAAAAATCAAATCAGATATCATGCCTAATGGACGAAGATATTCTTAGAGCTGTTAAAATTCGAGCTAAAAATAACACTGGAACTTGAACGATCCTTGCATTTGGGGAGAAAACCTTTTACACTGTTGGACAACATGGAATTGACCCAAAAATAAATCCCATTTCAATGTAAGTTTCTGTTTTAACTATCCCAATTATTAAAAGCTCTCAAACGCTGAATCACTAAACTGTATATTTTAAGCAAAAATGATATTTATCTTCTCGATTCATAGGCATTTTGATCATAGAATTGACCTTAAAATAAATCCCATTTCAATTTGAGTTTCTATTTTACCTTTTCCAATTATTATAAACTCCTAAGTCCATGACCCAAACACAGAACATCTAAATTTTACAGAATTACACAAAAATTATATTCATTTTCTTGATTTATATGCTTCTGGCCATAAAACAGCAAACTCTAGGGCTTGAATTATCCGATAAAAAGGTTAATCGCAGACAGGCATCTTTGTGAAGGAACCCAGAACAGAAATAGCAAAAACCAAAATTTTACATCACTCCGAGAGCTCATGCCAAGTAAATAAACAATGCTCCATAACTCATACGAAAAGAATTAATAGGATCATAAATCAAATATAAACCCGCACCTGGAACTTGATCCGGAGAGTTCAATAAAGAATGAGGTTTTAACCACTGCTGAGATTTATCGGATCGGATGGTCTAATTGCAAGGAAAAAAGACAAAAAAATTCACAGGTTAATGGTGAAGAGGGGAATCCTCTTTATCAATTTATTATTCTCAATTTATTAATAATTACGGAAATTACCGAAATTTTGTTTGTACGGCTATTCCATCCACTTATGTACATCTATTTTCAATAATAATAAAATTTTATTATATTTTAAATCCTACACAAATTTACTTAAATAAACATAAATAAAATTAAATAAAAATATATAACTCTAAATTCATCCATTAATTTTTATTTTCATTAAATAATCCTAAATCTTTTTATATTCTTTTAAAATTTGTGTTTGACTAGAGCACTAATATACCAGAGAAAACTATATAAATATGAAAAGTATTTCAATACTTAGAACTTTAATATAGAAAAAATTTAGTAAACAATGAAAGAAATGTCGTTAGAGTAAATATAAACATAGCAACATATGAAGAGGAATTTGAAAAGTAAGGATTACCTTTTTGTCCAGTTTTGTCGTTTGATTTTTCCCCCCTAATGTATTAAGACATTTATGGGTTTTAGTGACGTCGTTGTGAAATCGTGCTTGAATTTGGACGCTCTGATTTTCATTTCTTGGTTTTACGGTTATCTTATTGGAATGATTGTCTGAGTTTCTTTATTTACATTTATTTTCCCTTTTTCGTCTTATTTTGATTGCACGAACATGAATTTATCATGTTGAACTTGATTTCTTTTCTTGGCTTTACGGTTTCTGATTTCACCTACAATGGAAGTCTGTACGGTGCAATACATGGTAAGAATTAGTATTCCATACTCATTGATGTTGATGATTTTGTTTATTTTCTATTGTTTGCTTCTTGGAGTAGATAGTAGTTGCTAATTCGACTTCAATTTGGCATGATAAATGTGTGAAAATGTTGCAAAATGATTTTGATTTGGCATACTCTAATGTTTTCTCAGATTTGAATTCGACAATTCTTGATTGTTATTACTTGGTGAGAATAAAAGATCTTGTACCCAAGCAGACTCTGATGATAAAGCTATTGTATTGAAAACTGATGATTAAGCTTTACAATAAAGTTTAAAGTTTAGAAGAATCGAGGCTTGATTCCTGAGATTTGGTCCTTAATTCTTTCCTAGACGATGATCATACATAGGATACTAGTCAATCTTGTGTACTAGCCAGCCATAAAGAAATAAGAAACAAAAAAGAACTGTAAGGGTTCATTCATTTTTAGAGGAAGGGAAAGGAAGGATGGGACAAGGGTAGTGGTGGAAACGGAGCGAAAGAAATGTATTGTAAGGATAAAAAAAAAAAAAAAAATTGAATCTTTTGATATTCATTTGCTCTCTTTGTATTTGAGTTCAGTAAATATGGCGAGTTTTGCCTGTAAATATATTAAAGGAAATTGAGATAGATTGTCTCCGCCGACTTTTTATCTCCACAATTTGTTTTGGCTCCCAAGTATTTAGAAAAGTTCCAATTCATCTAATATTTTATTCATTTGGCTTAAAAGTGTTTAACGTTTTAAGGATTGTGTAAATCTATAGTATTATGGATGTATTTAAAGTGAAATTATAAAATTTATGTGGATGTATAGTATTTAAATGAATGAATTTAATAAGAACAATATTGAAATACAACGTGATGCAAATAGTAATTTTTTTTAAAAAATTAAAATTTTAATAGGGATGAACTTAAAGGGAGATATATTATACAAAAATATGGATGAAAATAGTTGTATCTAATTTGTTTAAGCAGTAAGAAAATGTATACTGTAAAAGGGATTTTTTTTTTTTTTTTTAAGAACGTGTGTTGTAAAAAGAAGAAAAATTTTCAATTTACGTATAAAAGTAATTTATGAGAAAATGTGTGATTGAGAATGAATTTTGAAAAAATGAGTTTTTGTATTAATGGGGGCCAAACATATATTAACGGGTTGTAGTTTCTTTCTGACCCATTTATCCCTTGTTTGGCAATAATTATTGGGAAAATTTCATAACTAAGAAATTAATTATGCCACATTTCAAAAACAAGAAAACAAGTTTCAAATTTCTAAAATCAGATTTTTATTAAAAATTATTTATAATTTAATTAGTTAATTAATTATTTTATTAATTAAATATATTTAGGTCACAGATCTATACAATTTGATCACAAATTAACAATATAATTAGTCACTTATTATTTTTTGGTCACAAATCAAAAATTTTATGTCACAAATTTTTTTACGATCACATTTCAAAAATTTTGTAAGTCACAGTTTGTTTATTGGTCACAAGTCCAAAAATAATTAGTCACGGATTAATTTTTAATCACGACTTATCATATTATTGGTCACAACTTATTTTTCGGTCACAAATTAAAAATTTTATAAGTCACATATTATTTTTCGATTACGAATCAAAAATTTTATAGGTCACGGATTAATTTTTCGGTCACAACTCAATAAATTATAAGTCACAAACACAAATTTTATAGGTCACATATTATTTTTCGATCACGAATCAAAAATTTTATAGGTCACAAATTAATTTTTCGGTCACAACTCAATAAATTATAAGTCACAAACACAAATTTTATAGGTCACATATTATTTTTCGATCACGAATCAAAAATTTTATAGGTCACAGATTAATTTTTCGGTCACAACTCAATAAATTATAAGTCACAAACACAAATTTTATAGGTCACATATTATTTTTCGATCACGAATCAAAAATTTTATAGGTCACAGATTAATTTTTCGGTCACAACTCAATAAATTATAAGTTACAAACACAATTTTTATAGGTCACATATTATTTTTCGATCACGAATCAAAAATTTTATAGGTCACAGATTAATTTTTCGGTCACAACTCAATAAATTATAAGTCACAAACACATTTTTTATAGGTCACATATTATTTTTCGATCACGAATCAAAAATTTTATAGGTCACAAATTAATTTTTCGATCACAACTCAATAGATTATAAGTCACAAACACAATTTTTATAGGTCACATATTATTTTTCGATCACGAATCAAAAATTTTATAGGTTACAAAATCAACACATCACCGCCAGACACTGCCATACCACACGTACCCTCACACCATCACCATACAGCAAAACCCCCCACACCACCATAACCACCACCGATATAGCCTAACAACGCTGCTACCACCCAAAATCACAGCAAAACCACCATTAAAAACCACAAACCATACAAAACCACGACATCACACACCATCGATTTCAGCCGGGTTTGAATCTGCATACATCCGCCTCCACTACCCACACCAGATTTCTCTAACGAGCAGCAGCTGTGCCTTCCAACCCACTAATCTGACATCGCCACCACCATTACCATACACCGCCTCTACCAAATCTTCCACCTCTCGCAACCGAGTAACCAATACCATGCCCTCATACCTCAAATCAACAGCTCAATCGACCAATTACATTACCACTCCCCTCCACCTAAGATTCAACATTATCACATCCACAGCCACCACCACAAACGTATCGTCGTCGCCGCAACCATCGCCACCACCGTCTCCTCTATATCTATCTCCACCATAACCAGCCATGCTATAATGATCGCCACAGATCCATCACCACCACGACGACGCTAAAGCCACCAATTGAGGCTGTGCCAATTTCATCTCCCAGAACCCAGCATTTTCCAAGATCCCAGTATGTACCCCATGCATACGCACACCACTACAGCTACCACCTACGCACACACATGCCATTGCCGCCACACACACCACCACACCGATGTACACACACACCCATCCCAGCCGAACACACGCCGTCGCTGTAGCTGCGATCCACGCAGCGTGACGGCCGCACGCCACAGCTGCCGTGACAGTCACACGCCACCGCCGCAGATCACCGCCCGTGACAGCCGCACGCCACCGCCGCTGCGATCTACACTGCAGATGCCGTGCCCCTGACAACGACGACGATATGAGAGAGAGAGAGAGAGAATTCGGGGGTGGGGAGAAATGAGGTGGGGTAAAGGTGGGTTGGTTTATAAATTAATTTAATTTAATAAAATTATTATTAATATTCAATTATATATCTGATTTATGAATAGTGAAACATTGGGCCTGATTTTAGAAGTCTGAATTTTTAATGTATGGTAGGCTGTAATTTCCACATAATTATTTGAAACTTATTTTTTATCTACTTATTTTCAGCTACACATTCACAAAATAAAATATTCAGTTAAATTCAAAAAAAAATTCTACTTTTTAATCACACATTTTCTAAAAAAATCACTTTTTAAAACTCTATTTTAATCAAATAATGGTTATCAAACAAGGATTTAGTATACGATCTCTTCAACTAAAATTTTAATAAATTTTAAAAGTTTCTATAAATTCAAGTGTCTCGTGCCTTCAACTAAGATTTAAATGGATTTCAAAAATATAGATATTCTCAATAACTCGTGAATTTATAAGAATGTCATTAATAAAGGAATTTCAAAATATGTTGATGGATTTCAAATTTAAAAATACACATAACAAACCTTTTTTAATGAGATTTTTATGGAGTCTGTAAAAATATATTCAAATTCATGAAATTTATTAGAATTTGTAATTTTATAAAATTTATTAAAATTTTAGTTGCTTTCACTAATGGCCATCAAATCAATTGATTCCATTCAGCTTTTAGCTCTATTGTGATTTATACTATTTTTTAACAATGAAAAATAAGGTTTGGTTTAAAGAAAGGATTTCAAATTTTCTAGAGACCTTTGACAGCGAGAGTTCTTTGACTTTGCATAACGAGTGAGGATAAATTAGAAGACATATTTCATGTAGTCTTCAAGAGACACGTTTGAATAGTTCTAACAGTAAATTGAGCTTTATTTTCAAGATGCATTCTAAATAGAATTCTATAAGGCTCAAACGGACTATGAATGTTGAACATCTTGTGTATTTACTTAAATAGACACGGGGGAAATTTTAATAAATTTAAATATTGAAAAGCTAAATCAACATTGTTTAAAGATATAATCTATGATAAGATATATACTTTTGATGATTTTTCTAAGTCGAGATGTTGAAATTTATAGAACTTTAAATATCAAAA